AATACTTCTTAAAAACTACGTAACTCCTTCAAAACTTCGTAACTTCTTGTACGTGTACAGAAAAGACTGTGTGGCTTCTTACATTTCGCCAACTTTGTGCTTTGCTAAGTTATTTGTTTTTGAAAATGGTAATGCTTGCGAAAGTCGAAACGTTTTCTTCATAACTCATTGTTACCCATGGTTTTGCAAGGTCTGACGGAAATAAGTAGGTTTGTTTTATGTGGTAAAAATAGCCTATTTCACCACAGTTTCCTAAATGTTTCCACACAAATAATCATACCATAAAAATGTCAGTTGAATGGAATTCGTCTGAAGTTTCCCAACATTCCGGATAATGTAATAAAGTCTTTAAGTAGAAGGATTTCTTTTTGCTCATTAATATTTGCCGAACCACAGAAAATTTCACCTTTTAAGCTTCAAATCATGACTTAGTCTACTCATCTAATGAGCAGTCAGCAGTTAGTTAAATACACCCAGTACTCTTTATTAGTACTTTCTTTACCTTACTTTATTCCATAGTATTTGCTTAGTATAATGAAAAATTGGAAAAAATTAAGACTTCCTTGAATATTAAATGAATTTTGCTCTTATATATTTTTAAATTTATTTTAGTGTTCGTCTGTTTTATGGATTACTATAAATAATAGTGCTTTTACTAATGGTTATTTTAAAATAGCTAAACTTATTTGCTATTGTTCTTTATAATTTGCTTAGCGATTTTGACCCTCAATGCAGAAAAAGACAAAAATATAGCTGATCCTGACAATCTAGAGTAATGACTGTGAATGAACATTTAGAACCCTTATAAGGTTGCTGGTTTGTCAGTCAGACAAACAAGACAAACAGACAAAAAGTCTTTTTGTCTGTCTGTCGTTCTTTCCGTCCGTCTGTTCATTTACTTAGCAACTTTGGAACTGTTGAGATGAAATTTTATAACATACATACATATGTTATGTCGATGACCCAAAAACAGACATATAATAACGTAAATAAATGAATTTGAAACTTGGAGCATGGTACAATATAACGGCGATACCATTATATCGGCGTGAAGCCTTTCGACCACAGAGTTCGGAAATGTATAGATAAACCAAATTTTAAATCATACATTTGAGCTTTATTATAGGTATCATAAAGTATTTAGTTATATTTACCAAGAAGTATTTATTTCAAAAAAATGTTGCAATAGTTTTTATTGTGGCTTCATCTACATTTTATCTCATGTGTATGGATAAGTATTGAGCTATGCGTTGAGAAGAATGAACCTTATTTACAAAACATTAATGGCGATTCTATTGACAATGTATAATTCCTTAAGCCGCAGCCGTACTTTTTATTTGGTTCCAATTTGAGAAGGCCAATATTGTAACCTACTGCTACACCATACCTTAGTTTGAATATCCACTTTGTAGCCAAAGAATAAATACAAATAGTAATAGGACTTAACTATGTACGATATTAGCTTACGCGTACTATTTTTTTACTAGGTTTGGTTTGCTACTTTTGCTTCTTATTGATGTATATTTTTACAATTGCGAAATACATTTTCTTTTAAACACTTTGGTTGTAGTAAATTCATAAGCTATCTTTATTGGATTGGACTAGAAAAGATCCCGAGATGGGCTAGTTGTCCACTCAATAGACCAACTGCGATGACTCGGTTTTATAAGAGTAATGTCTTTTTTTCTTCTTTAATTATCATGTAAACACTGTTTCCTTTTATATGAAATATATAATTGAGTAAAGTATATTTCTGCAAACATTTAGGTCGATACGCTATACGACAACATATGGCAAAGCTCTTCGCGTTTGCGAATGCAGAGGTAAAACAACTTTCCACAAAAAAATAATATCTCAAGATCGACGATTGTAGAAAAGCAAGTTAAGCCGTCGGTTCCAACTTCAACTACATACACTTTAACAATGAACCCACAGTTTATATCCCCAGGGAAGGTTTGTTCCCTAAAATTGTGATTAGAAGCTGCGTGTATTGTTTGTTTTTGATTATTTGTTTTAACGCAGTGATCCGTAGCAGTCTGAGATATCGTGTCGTTACAGCGTGTTGTGGTACCTAGTAGATAACATAGTATTTCGCACGACCAATTGTATATTTAGGTTGTTTGACATAATGTTTAAATTACAGTTACCATATTTATTTTTATGTTATTTTAGTATTCTACTTGTCCAATTTGAAGTCATCAAATGATTTCGAAATTGTCTTGGCTTATATCTGACGAAAGATCCAATAAGTGTCTCGTGGGAGTTTAGTTCGCCACGGATCGTATGTCGAATGCTCGTTGCGAAATTATGCTAATAATAATTGTTTGGTAATAATTACAAGTGGTATGGACGCCGATTTCAAGATTTCGCCATCTATGAAAAATCGGTCTCGATTCCTTTACTTTTTTATATTGTCTCGAGTCCGGTGGTTGTGGTATCTTCGTTGTCTCAGATACTACATGATATGAGCGCTTTAGCTACACATCTTGGAATCTGAGCAATGTATATGATCTTGTCCAATACTACTATAATACTATATATTTGGTGAAGTATCATAATTTGTTCTATAAAGACTAATTATATGTTCAACCTATGTCCTACAGACTTTGAAAGTTGTAGTTATTATTGTGATAATACATATTATTTTGGTAATACCATGATTTATGTAAATGTCATTACTTATGATAAAAAGCTGGTAAGTTTCTTTCGCTTGCTCTTCTTGTTAGCTAAAAGACGTCCTGAACAAGTGGTAGGGGGAAAAAATTTTTTTGGACGATTCAAAAGTGCTTGTAATAGCCTATTTGAATAAAGATATTTTCATTTCAATTATCACAGTTACCATCAACCAAGCTCCGTGCGAAATGCTTTATTTTGCCAGTATGAATTTTTTAAATTACATCATCATCATAATTAATATGTATTAATGTCCCTATTGCTGAGCTCAGGCCTTCCCTATAGATGGAATCGAACCAATTCGAATAGGGGGGAAATGCCCTGACCCATCACCACACATGCCCAGAAATTGGTGTTTATTAACGTCTCTGCAGACGGCCAGCCATTGGTCATTGGTCCCATTGCATCTGCATGCAATGGGACCAATGGCTTAAGGTGCCATCCGAAGCACGGAGGAGTTCGAGATAATATATTTTTTGGTCACACATCCTATGACCGGCTATTGCGAAAGTTGCTTAACGGTATCTCTGACAGCGCGCTAGCCACTACATCATCGAGCTCAAATATATATTTTAGATGGGTGGATAAAATTATGTATTATTCTTGTTGTTAATTTTTCACAAAATATACTATTGAAGTCAAATTGCTCATTAATTAATAAAAAGTTTTTATAAATCAGGGGAACAGCGAATACGGGTGTAGACAGTAAAAGAAAATAATAGTTATTTAAGATACGAGTACGGAAAGTAAGGTTTTACGAATAAGGGCCAAATTGAAAACACGAGCGTAGCGAGGGTTTTCATTGGCACGAATTCGTAAAACCTTTTTACGCTCAAGTTTCTTACAACATTTTTCGAAATACAACAAATATATAGGTTTATAAAACTAAGTATGTATTAAAGGTAAAAATTATTTTTTAAATTTAAACGTGATATTTGAACATGTTTTCGTGTGATACATTTTTATTTGAAAATTTTCGTTCTAGGCTCCTTGAAATACTTTTGCCTCTAAAGGATTTCAGTACATTTTTATTTGACACGTGTTTAAAGACTCACTTTCGGTATTTACAATGGATTAAAAAAATAGCGCTTTATGAGCAACTGCATTGAAAACACATATTATTACCGACAATCACACTTTTATCTTTTAATAATACTAGCTTTCGCCAGCGGCTTCACCCGCGTGGTCCCTAGAGAAATTTTTAGTGGGATAAAAAATATCCTATTATCTAAGTCAGTTAATACCCTACCTGTATACCAAATTTCATCAAAATTCGTTCATTAGTTTCGGCGTGATTGACCGACAAACATCATTAATAGGATAATAGGATTGCTTAAACTAAATTATGAAAAAAATCTAATATTTGATGCCCGTTGTCACGTGACCACAAACAGCGCTAGGCGTCACGCCCTTACTCATATAAGAACTCGTATCAGAATTAACTTCATCCTTATGAAGCCTTGAAGTCATAGTGCGCCATAACAGAAGTGGAATTTGATTTTGCATTCACAATGTTATACTGCAAAAATATTCTTAATGAATAATGCTTAATGAAAACTACCATCTCCAGGTACTCTGAGATGGGACTTGAAAAATTCGTCAGTCCTGTTAGGTCCCGGGTAGCTCAGTGGTTACAGCAGCCGCCCGGATTACGAAAGGTCGTTAGTTCGAATATCCTATATAATAAAATTTAATCCATCTCTCTAGGCCCAGGTGGGACTGGTGGATTTTTTAAGCATGTAATTAAGTATTTATAAATTTTTGACTTAAATATTTATTTGGTTGATATCATCAAATAACTGAAAGTCTTATATTAACAATACAAAAATTGTGGCACATATATAACAATTTGTAACATTTGTTTATTAAATTAAACGATGAAATTTTAAATGTTTTATAGGTAAGATTTCATTAAAGTGATTTTTCACTAATATTTTTATTGTATTATATTTTTATAATCCATTTATTTTTCCAATTCATGCCTTTTAAGACAGTTAATTCTGTTTAGGGAAATAACGTTTCCCTAGAAATATTTGAGTAATAATAACAATTTTAGCATCTTACGTGATTTGGTGATGTACCTGAGGAATTTGAATTTATTATATTTAATGATGATTTGATTGTATTTTTGTTTTTAATTTTATTCATTTTAATGTATGACATAATTTATTTATTATAAATTTATTCTCGTGAATTTAGAATTATATATAAGTGTTTATGCCCGAAATAAATTTTTTATTAACATTATTACTCCATTGCGCCATGTCGTATAAATTAAGAAGACCGAATACCTATACAGAAATTAATTTTTTTATAATTTGTTTCAGAAAATGCTTAATCTGATCTCCGATCGTCTTGAAAGACGTGTGTGCGATGATGTGCTGGAAGTAGCCTGGTCCACAATGTGGAATGTCACAGATGAAACGCCGCGAAATTGCCAGAGATTCCTGGAGAATCATGGGATGGAGTTCTTTTTAGCTTGCTTGAAGGTTGGGCACAATTTTTTGATGATAGCTTGATAATGCCTTTCTTCTTTATGAATTTTTTATGATTTAGCTAGTGTCAAGATAAAAAGTATTTATACAGTCTCTGTACTATATTGTCGATGGTCTCTCTATTTTAAGTACGCTTGCTTCGCTCATAGAGGGCGTTGTACAAGAACAAAATAGGAAATCATTTAAACAATGAATATAGGAAGAGAAAAAATAAGCATTTTTTTCTCAATTCTGTATATTATCAGATAATCACAAGTCTATATAATGTTTATATTCTTTTCATTTATTATTATATGAGTAATGAATATTATTTTTGCAGATTTTTCCCGACAAAGAGGAGTTGTTACGTAACATGATGGGTTTGCTGGGCAACGTTGCGGAAGTAGCAGAATTGCGCCCCCAGCTTATGAATAAACTGTTTCTCACAGTGTTTTATGATTTGCTAGACTCATCTAGCGATGGTATTGAGGTATGAACAATTTTATAGATATTATTAATAGATCCCATCTTACAGATAATTATGACGAAGATTTACATAGTTTATTTCTGCTCCACGCTTTAGAATGCACGTTGAAACATAGGTGTAGGCTTCATTTGGAAACATTAGTGCATCTGTGATTTTAGCTATAAGAAATGAATGTAAATTTATTGACACAATTTTTTATCATATTGATATTTATTAAAATATTATGGCGGAAAATTTACAAAAATATATTTTACTAAATTGTATTATGGACACTTGCGTCCATATTAAAGGTAAAATGTGGACTCACATTTTTTTTGACATCTAAAATTATTCATAATTCTCCCTTCACTGGATGGTTAATCGGATGCAAACACTTAAAAATACAGATTTCTGTTATATGTTCCATGAACCGTTTTAATTTTGTAAATATTTGACAAATACATTTAAGATATATACCTCTTTACTATTTACTGTCGGCAAAACAAGGAGCTTTCCATCATTGAAATAACGTTATGCCATTCTATATAAATAAATAAAAGCTATAAATATATACGATTATTAAATTAATAGAGTAAATATAAAACGAATGGTTATGGGAAAATAGTGAAAACGCCCATATCTAATCAGGGTTCGGAGGGTTATGGTTATCAATCGAAACGTAACTGTAAATAACCCAAACTATGAATGGGTCATCTATTCATTTTGGGATTTTCATAATCAGTTAACAGAAATATTACGGTTAAAGAATCAAATGTGTTAAACCTGAATAACCTGTTACATAATATTTCGGTTATCTTTAACCGCATTGTTTCAATTTTGGCAAGATCGATAGATATTGAATGTTTCATACCTCATTCCGAGTAGATATAATTACCTACTTCTTTAGCATATCGTTAAAACATCTTCAAATAACCCGTTTCATTGAAACGAAATACACCAGTTGGTCGTAATCGATTACATTTTAGAAAGTTCACATATTTGATTTAAGAGGCCCCACAAATGACATTAGAAAATACTTAATATTCTAAAATAATAATAAGTAAAAACAGTTATCCATCATTTCGGTAATTTAATTCGATTATTAACTGTTATATTTTGGTTATTTACCCTAACCGAAACGAATTACCCAAAATAAATTAACCTTTAATTATAGGTTAACAGTTTCAATTAATGACCATTTAATTTCGGTTTAAACAAAAACACCCCATGTGCATTAACCAAACCAATCTGTAACCGTTTCAAACGGTAAGCGAGTGAATCGTTAAGTGAATAAGCGGTAACAGTCGTGAATGGGTTATCCGTTCCCTGTACCTAATGTGTCCTTGACGATCGATCCTTGTGTCGAAAAAGGCAAAAATACAGGTGCCACTTGAAAACCAGCGTCAGACTATCATTCTGACATAACTGAATTGGTGACCTATTTTTGGTGCAGTCGTGAGACGCAATCGCATATATATGATTTTATTATTTGTTTTCTTATTACTGAAATTTTAATTATTTTATTGTAATTTGAATCCTGAAAATTGTATCTTATTTGTCTCATGTTTGTACCAGAATAAATAATTAAAAATAATAATTCAAAAAATAATTACTTCATTCATTCAACCGTATGCTGTTCACCCTTTTAATTTCGTTTTAAATAAAAATATCTTATGTCCGTTAACCGAACTAATCTGTAACCGTTTCAAACGTAAGCTAGTGAATCCTTAACCGTTATAAGCGATTACAGTTGTGTGAATGGGTTATCCTGTCCTTGTACCTAATGTGTAATGTATGTATCCTTGTGTCGAAATAGGGGAAAAATACAGGTGCCAATTGAAAACCAGCGTCAGCGGTCACCAGTCTGACATAACTGAATTGGTGACGGAGTCGTGAGACGCAATAGCATATATGTTATTTTATTACTGAATTCTAATTATTTTATTGTAATTTGAATCCTGAAAATTGTATCTTATTTGTCTCATGTTTGTACCAGAATAAATAATTAAAAATGATAATTCAAAAAATAATTCATACATTCATTCATTAATATATCGTACGTTGAGAACGATAGTGACACAATGCAAAAAATGCGATTTTGACTAATGAGCGTTTAAAGTTCAAGAAACTGTAATCAGCCCCTTTAAACAACGTATAGTCACTATGCCACCTAGCAGTTTCTATGCAAACTACATTCACAGGGATCTTTGCATTTTAAAGTTTATACTTTACAAAGAGAAATGTTGCCAAAAGTAAAAAATACGTTGTTTTGCTTAGTGACATTGTCGTTCTCAACGGGCCATATAATGTTTTGTCGTACAGGTGAGCTATAACGCTGCGGGCGTGCTGGCGCACATGGCGTCGGACGGTCCGGACGCGTGGACCGTGGAGGAGCCCGCCCGCGAGGCGGTGTTGGCGCGCGTCGCCGCCGCGGTCGAGCGGTGGGACCTGCGCGCCGAGAGGAACATCAACTACCGCTCCTTCGAGCCCATACTCAGTCTGCTCCACGCACATCACACGCCGCAGTGCCAACACTGGGCCGTGTGGGCACTCGCGAACCTCACCACCGTTTACCGTGAGTTAATCGTGTCATAATAGGGATGACGACTCGGTAAAAAGAAAGGAATTCTTTTTTATCCGTCAGTCAGATAATAGAAAAATATTATTTTTAAAAACGTATTTATTTTTTACTTCAATTTAACAAGAAATGGGTTAGATAAAAAGCATTAAAGTTGTGGAGTGGCGGCTCGTTACGTCACAGTTCTGTAGAAAATGTACAAAAGTGTGACGTCATGTGACATTTCAACTCAATCTATCGCCGTAATTTAATGAATGCAAAAAAAAAATAAAAAATGCGTTAATAATATTTTTTAACAATCTATCTGACGGACTAACGAACAAAAATTAGTCGTCATCCTTCTTGTTTCAAACTACACCAGCAACATTTTGTGAACATCGCCGCCTCGCGGTTTGTTTCGTGATAATAATATATTTTCCATACCTATTACGTTCACGTCTCACGGCCGGTTTTTAATTAAAACCTAACCGGTTCCTGTATCAATGTACAGACATAACTACTGTACCTGGAAACTTGGAATTTGGTACAAGGCTTCTTTTACTGATGTAAGTTCAACTTCAACCCCATAGTGGGCAAATTAGGGTTGAAGTTTTTATCGAATTCGCTGGTGGCAATCTGGTTCTTAATAAGGATACAAATTTATAGAGCAATCACATATCTAGAAGACGCAAACTCTCGGGCTTCTTGCTTTAGATTAAGAGTTTTAAGCACCGATATCTTCTAACCCTATCATCAGATATTTCTGTATGCCTCTACCGGTATCTCTCATCAACGCAAATATTCAACCAACGAACATTTATTTCCACAGCCGAAAAATACTGCAGTTTGGTAGAAGCTGAGGGCGGTCTGCTACTCCTCAACGACTTACTGTTCCACCCGGCGCCATACAAAATGATCAAGGATCTCGCGGGCACAGTGATTGCTAATTGTGTACGCTTCCTGATGCACAACGCTGGCACTTCGAGCCCGAATCCGAACGCCCTATCACCGGACAATTAACTAACGGAGTACTTTGAGGATATCTATCCTCTGATGCGCGAATAGCTAAAGATTTTCAGACTCTTCATATATTGGTTGTTGTTTTTATGTGTCGCTATTGGTACCGCAGCATTATATGTTTCCTCGCTGTAAACAACCAATTGTCGAGTCTGCATATGCTCTCGCGCATCCTCGGACTGTAAAACCTTCTTATAAGTGGAAGGTGTGTTAGTACAATAAGTGTATTCTATTGGTGAAATGTGATGTTCTATGTTTCATTCTACGTACGTCACGGTTCGTGGTTTTTCACTCTTCGTCGAGCTTATAAATTTCTGAAGATTATGTCCTCATTGATACGTTGTCTTTAATTGTATTATATTAATCGATATAAATGTTAGCATATGAAATGGCATAAAATTTAAAACAATCGATATTATTAATATATTACAGAAGAAATTATTATAATGTTAGCTTTACGTAATATAATTTGCATGACTCGTTATAATATGATCTGTATGATAACAATAAAGCCTATTTCGATTATATATTACTTTCCTTCGCAATCATAATTTATTTTAGAGCTAATAGAAAACATTGTTAGACTATACTAATAATATAAATCACCGTGTTGTATAATTTTCTAATCTATAATTGGTTTGCAGCTTTTTGTGGAAATCTAAATTATGTATCATTGTTCATTAATTTTTGAATGTGTATATATATTAGTCGTAATAGAGGTTAATAGTTTATATTTAATTATTCAATTTAAGATAGTTAAAAGAATGTTAGATACAGTGTTTACATAACTTTTAAAATTAATTACGAGTTCATTGAAAAATAAGTGTACCTACTCAATTAAAAACAAAAAATTGTTCATATCATAACAAAAACATAAAAAAAAAAACATGGTATCGATTTGATTATTCTCTTCAAAGAAGCGCTATTGATGTTTAATTTAAAATAGAAGTGATTTTAAGATCATAATTTTATGGCAATTTAATGTTTATTATTATAAATGTTTGTCGTAAAAACAATATGGATGTATTAATTCGTCTGATGTCAATAGAATAGCGATATTAAAAAAAAAAATCTTAAATGTTAGTTTATGTGTCACAGAGTTAATTGTCGTAGGAATAATACTTACTATTAAATTGTTAGGTATTCAAGTTGGAAATACAGTGTTTGTTCTTATTTGTCTAATAGTATTTCATTATATTGTAATCGGAATTTTATGTCGTACCAAATATATGCAGTAATGTTGATTCTTCATATAAGATTCTGAAATTGAAATTTTTTGAATGGAAGTCGGACTTAACACGATGTTGATCTATCCAGGCTTTGCTACTGTCAATATAGATAATATGCAGGTGCGGGAATAGACAATATATTTTTGGATATTAAAAACTAGTAGTGCAAATAATGTTACAGTAGGAGGGTGCATTCCCATCAAATCTACATAGGTATATTATACTTTTTATATTCTTTCATATCACGAGCATAGAAAAAATATTAGGATTGTTTAATACAACCCTAATATATATATGTATGTTCATATCTTTTTGAAAATTCATCTGAAGGCACGCGCACATTCTTTTCTTCTGTCTGTACAGAATTTAATAGTAAAAGATAATTATATTCAGTCATAATTAAATTGGTCGCTTAAAAAACTGTGTTTGCTTTTTAATAAAACTTCTCGTCAAAACTATATCGATAATTCAATGTTTTACAATCATAAATTTAATAAACTTTGTCTGTTAACATTATAATCAATGTCAAACATGAGTAAGTTTATGTCGTTGGTTATATTTTTGTAATCAATCATATATGTGTCTGTATTACATATAGTATTAACAATATTGAGTGTACCGTAAATAATTGAATGTGTTTCATGTTAACTCTAAATGTAATTACATAATATGGAACTAACTGGTGAACTAAAATATTTCTTTTTCGTTTTGCATGCATTGTCTTAATAAAGATTTACGAAAATGAATGTTTACAATAGGAAATATAATCTCCACTTAAATCCATCCACTTTTGTTGTGTTGTTTATTATTATTTATTTCCATAAAGATATTGTTTTGTGGCATTATCTTAAAGTTTTTAATAAATATTAGGGCTCATGAGAAGTATATTCATGATATTTTGGTAACAAAACTTCGAGTCTATGTAATAAAATAGTCTTCTTCTGTCAAAAAAAAAAAAACAAAAATATATGAATGTGTTAAAATATATTCTCTAAAAGCCTTACCTCTATGACCGTTTTAGAAATATATGTTATCAATAAAGAAAACCCAATATATTAGCGTTTCAATTGCACCAAAAATAAAGTTATTTTATGTGTGTGTGTTTTATGTCTGTATAAGAGCCAACATAATCGTAGAAAATGAGAAGTGACTGCAAGTCTGAATCAATCATAAATGGTCCGGGTGGAATATGGTTTATGTATAATTAATTTCAATAAAAAATATGAAGTGAATTTGCACTGAAAAAGAAATCAACAACTCACAAAAATCTGTTGATGCTATTGATGCTTATTCCCATAAAAATATGTAAATAAATACACCGTATTTATTAGGTTCCGTTATAACCGTTTACGTGACGTCATTTGTGGGGTAGACAGGATTGTCGGTAAAAAATGTATTATTATATTATATATGTTTTTATTCAAACAAATAAAACAAAAATGAATTTTGTAGCCAGTTACAGCTGGCGACTCCACCATACGATCCAATATGCGGATAACCTCAAATCACATATAGATGATATGGATAGTACTGAGTCGCCCCCCTCCCCCTGTGTGTCTCGACTAAATTCTACCCCTTATAATTAGGACTTTATTTATATTTAAGTCTAATTCTAATAAATCCAGAGAATCCGGTATTTCTCACCAGACCTCAATTCTATGGAACCTAGTACGCTCCCCATAATACAGAAGATAATACAAAATCACCGCCAAAGCTACAAAACGGTCTGCGTAGAAACACGTCTACTCATACTTGTCTAAAAAAGGGAGGTCGCAATCGATTGGATACTGTCGGCTGTCCCAGTTCAAAACCTAGTAACTGTTTTGGACTAAATTTTACAGGAGAGCAAAAAAACTCTTTTTAGGGTAGCTCTTTTAAACTATTTAACACCTGTTGAGAAATTATTATTTACAAGAAGGAGTAGTTTGAAACTGTTAATTTGATATATAAATTATTTGTCTAAGTTTCATTCTACAAATTTTATGAGCTAAAATAATTTTAACAATAAAACGTCTAAGTAAAAATTGACTTCCAAAACCATTTCAAACCTAGTAAGTTCTTTTACTAGATTTTGATCTGGTTTAACATATTAGCTAAAAATCAGCTTATCCAGATCAAAAGCTAATAAATTCAAATTTATACAGCCATTTACACATGTATTTGTGTTTCATTAGGCGGTATTCATTTGTTTTTTTTTCTTCTATTTGTTCTATTTACGTCACCCAATTGAAATATCGTGTTATTTACGAGTACGAGTTCCACCATGGTACCAGTGCTGCGGAAAAGGCTCGAAGGGTTAATGATGTGTATGACGGTTGTATCGCAAAAGAAAACACAGTACGTTTTTGGTTCCAACGTTTTCGTTCTGGAAATTTCGAGCCTCATGGACGGCCGTAGACCCAAGTTTATAATGAAGAATTGAAGGGTATTGTGAAAATGGACTAGTGCCGGTGTCGTTTATTAGAGTTTTCTCAAATCTGGCCAGACGATTACGGCAGACGTCTATTGTCAGCAATTGCAAACCATGCTGGAAAAACTAGCTGTTAAACAACCGAGGCTGGTCAGTCGCTCTACGACACTGCTACTTCACGATAACGCTAGACCACACGTTGCACAACAGACGGCTACCAAATTAGAAGAGCTTCAATTGGAATGTCTAAGACTTCCACCGTACGCCCCAGACCTTGCTCCAAAGATTACCATTTTTTTCGAAATTTGGATGACTTCTTGCAAGGAAAAAAATCAACTCCTATGGGGCAGTGCAAATCGCCTTCAAAGATTTTATTGATTCCCGTCCGAATAGTTTTTTCAGTAAGGGGATCAATGACCTACCTATGAGATGACAAAAGTGCATAGATAACAATGGTTTATACTTTGATTAAATAAATATAGTATATTAAAAAATATTCGTCTTTTTGTTGATGCCATACTAAACACTAATTTCATATGTAAGGACCTAATATATTGTTATGGGGGCAAAACATTATATTTAAAGTTATTAAACGGCGACTTGTGATTTCATCTACGTGGACTCTTCGACACTGACTGAGCTTTCGACTACCGACTATAAGTTGTGAACATCAACTCATAATGTTAATTAAGAGATTGCTCATAATAACTTGGTTCTATATTTCTCTCAGTATAATTTATATATGCATATTTGTCCTGTTTTATTGAATAAATAAAATAAATTTACGTCTTCTTTAGAATGAAATTTAAATTTCCGCTAATATAGCTCCCAAGAAGTTATAATGGTTTAAGTTAAATACTCAAAATGGGCATAAGTTAGACGACATAAGTTTGGGAACCTCTGATCTACTCTATGGTTCCATTGCTAATTTAACTTTTTCTTGATGTTCTTTTTGTTTAGTCGAAATATCTTCTGGCACTTCAGTACCTTTATGTGTATTTCTCTTAATTTCTACTTCAAAAAATTAACAATCCGCGCACTTATTGTCTTTTGGCATATTAAATGAAATATTAAGTCTTTTAATTGTTAGTCGATAAACTTCTACACTACAGCCAAAATCTTTACCTTTACTACTACTATAAACTTAGTTAGCAAAACTTAGTAACTCAATATTATAATGTCTTACGAAAACCACAAAATATTGTTTCTATACATTTATTCACTTCATAACCCAGTAACTAGATTTGACAATTTCAAAAACCTAGTATGTGCTAACACATACTAGAAATTTGAAATAGTTAAAGATACATACTAGGTTTTATAATGGTTAAAACTTAACTTTTCATAAATTTAGAAGCACTTACTAGGTTTAGCGTACCCTATAATTTTTGATAGAAGTGAATTTTGATATAGGGTATTTTGGCATCTTGTGGGGACTTATTGGAAAACCACTTTTAACAAAAAAACACAATTTCTACTTTTTGTAGACTTACTAGGTTTTGAAATGGGACAGCCGCTGTAATATCGATTCTTTTGACTAATCATTTGTTTTTAATTTCATTATAAATAAACTATTTTCCTGTAAGTAACATCTAATTATATTAGTAATCTAATCTAAGTTTTATAATTTTCACGGATTTATATGGTTAGGAAATAATATAAGATTTGTATCAAATTCGATTAGTCAGACATAAAATCGATCTTGTTCTTTGAAAAGACATTATTAATAAGATGCGTTCAAAAATAACATAATTTAAACTGCGTTCTAAAAAATAAAGACATATTTTAGAGAGGATTATCTTTCTTTTCCCAGCTTTTAAAAATAAATTGTTGGTATATAATAATTACATTCAACTTATACTACATTTTGGTGATAGTTCCATCATGGTACAAGAACTTTTTTTTCGTAGTCCATTTTGACCATTTTTCTTTTTACATAAATATGTAACACTAACGGTGTCCCAATTCAGCACGTGAGCCGTATTCTGGAGATTTACCGATTACGACTAAAGAGGTTGTGTTTTAGCAACCGTTAATGTTGTTTGTGACGGTAGTTGGATGCAAAATCTGAGGGTGGAAGAAGATTATCCTCGGATGTAGAGGCGTAAACATGCTGCTCCAGTCTAGCCGGCCGAAACGTATTATATCAGTTGCTACAGATGGCACTGCGGCTACGACAGGGTGCCATAAAGGCTTCGTAGCGTACATAAAAAAAACCAAATTCC